GTGCTATCTCTCACTGTCATATATATATTTGGAAAAAATTCAAATGACATGACTACATATCATTTAATGTGATAAGCATTGAATATATGCAGAGATATTTATGGTAATCAATATATTATTTAAGGTACAGTATTATTATGTGATACAGTTTTTTAAATGGCCCAAAGAACTGGTTCACAATATTGTAAGTGCCATATAAAATGTTATTTTCTGCTAGTTTCATTATTACCTGGGCTGCAATATTTGTATTTTACTAAATATAACTTGCCTCCCATAACTCCAGTCTTAGACTCCCTAATCAGTCTTGTCATGCTTAAGATTCAACGTTCTGATTCAGGATCCAAAAGTCACCAACATTTCTGTTCTAGTCAAGCTGGCACTCCATAGTAATAAACTATTTCCCAACCATTTTCAGAATATTACAATCTCAGTTACTCTTTTTCAATTTCAAACACACACACACACACACACACACACACACACACACACACACACATAGATAAGAAAGGGTGCTTATCCTTTTCAAAAAAAAAGTGAACAAGGACTTTTGTAGTGACTTCCCCAAATGACAAGAACAGACTGGCCAGAATTGCATTCAGGCCATTTAGATCTACATCTCAGTATAGCCATGGTTTCTAGGTTGAGCTGTGAAATCTATTAAGGGACCGATATATCAATGACCAAACTGCTCACTAACAGAGGCAACTACTGAGTTTTATGTCAGTGGCCATGCGGCTTTTCCCACTGCATTCTCAAGGTAATAATATGGATTCCCACCATCCCCCTTGATTTCTTGATAACAAACACAGAATTGCCACTTTATTAAAGGATATGCAGGGTTTGGCAATATATTAAGTGGACTAAAGCCTGAGACTCGATACCTGAAGATACTGTGTGCCGTCTCTCAACTAAATATGGACCCTTCACCTTCAAATGTAAGGGATCTGCTACCCTAAGAAAAGCACCTCAGAATGTCAAGAACATAAACATAAAGAGTAAGAGAGGTCTTAGACCTCATTTAATATTTTGCACAGGAGAAAACTGAAGTCGAGAGAATAAAAAAGACTTAAGGTCATTTAACTGACCAATTCCCATTTTTATCCAAAATGTGTGTCCTTCACTAAGACCTCACATTCAGTGGATTTTGAACTTTATTAAAGTATCAAATACAGTCATCTTTCACCAAAGTTAGAGAATAGATTCCTGAAATACTATTTCAAGGCAGTCAGCAAGTGATGGTTATGACTATATGGTAGAAATGGGATAAGGGAGTCCAAGATGAGGTGTGAGTGATGAAATCATAAATATTTTTTATGTGCACTCCAGTATAAAGGAATACAGCAACACACAATAATAATAGTGGAAAATACATTTTATATAAGTTAATACTAAAAAGATAGTTTTTATTTATTGCTTACCAGGAACTTGTCAGGAGTTTCCTACACCAAATTCAGTGAACGGCATATAAACACATGTTGTTTTGTGCAGATAACACACATAGTGAAATGAATTGTTTCCTGTACTCATCCCCCATCCAAACACCAGTGTCTTTCTAAATCTATGACTCCAAGAGCCTTGTTCCCTTCTGCCAGCCTCTGTTTCACATATCTCGGGCATCGCTGGGTTTAAGTCCTAGATATACTCTCTCATCTTCCTTTCCCTTCTCTCATGATTTCCTCACAGAAACCATTATTCCTTTCCCGCAATCCACTTTACCTCTGTAGAATTCCCAGCAACCAGTTCCTTCTTTTTTTAATGATTCAGATTGGGAACAACTACAAATTTAACATCTGTGCACTCTCCAGAAAAGAAAACAGAAGCAAATCCTCACACCTTGGTAACGCTTTTGTTATGCACCAAATCACTAAAATGAATGTGCAGGTACAGCCCATTATGAGCGAAAAAACTACAAGTCAACCACAAATACACACAGAGGCCAAGGAGACTGTAAGGCACATGTTTATTTTTCCCACAGAGTCACCTAACTTTCAGTCCATATAGTCAGTTTCAGTTGAGCACTTAGGAGTCCCTTCTCCCTCTAACCTCCTCTAATCTTCCTCTTTCTCCTCCTGAGTTCTTTGCTCTAACTCCCTGTTTGGCCCCAGGATCTTACTCTCTGATACCAGCTAGCCAAGGACCCATACCATGGAAATCTTTGTCCCCACCTCTACCCTGAGAAGGAAAGGGAGAAATGTCAGTAGAACTTGATACGTCCTAGGAGCTGGCCTACAGCTTTCACGTTCTCCAAAAAAATCATTGTATAACAGGCCTTTATACCTTTCCCTTCCCAATATTGATGGCTTTTCATAACAAGATTCAGATATAGCTTAAAGACCCCCTCCCTCGTAGGCATGAAAAGGGGGTGCAATCAAAGATAAACATTTTGTATATGAGGAAACTGAAATTCTGAAACTTGATTTAACACTAATTTTGAATTCATATGGAGGCCAAAACTATGCAGTTTCTTCACAGGAAGCCCTGTAAGCCCCTTTCCTTACAAGTCATTACCTGCCTGAGGCAGCTGAAACAATGGCCACATCTTGACTAAGGGTCACAAGGTATGTTAAGCTAAAGATAATATCTTGACCTAAGTTATGTTTCAGTTTCTAAGCCCTAAGGTGGAACAACCCCCTGACTCCTTTTCCATGAAACTGGACAGTGGGATCCAGCGCAGACCTCGGAGCTGTCCTCAAGACCCGAGGAAATGTAGTAGCCATCAGTTCCCAGCACACCCCTGAACCTCTAACCCAGTGTCTTGTGATTTTAGAATCTGTAACCTACACACCATCAGGGAGTTTGGGCCTTTGAGCATTAGCTTCCCGCTCTCCTGCATGATGCCATTCACAGTAAACTAACCAATCTTCTTTCTCCACTGCAATTCTTGATATTTGGTGTTTGGCTCTGCTAACACCAGTTTGATGAACTCTTTCTTTTCAATAACCATGTAACATATTTATTTGTGCCCAAATTCCCATCTCTTCTCACCTTGGATTTTATTCTATCTTCACCCATATATATTCTGCTTCATCAAGGTTTCTCTTTCTAGTGCATCATTCCAGTAACCACAAACATGCTGTTCAGCATCCATCCTAAGGAAACAGGAAGAAATGTTGTTCTGCTGCCCTTCACAGTAAAGCTCCCCAGAAGCGTGTCTATATTCACTGTTTCTAATTTTCTTTCATTTCTTTTTTTTCCCTTACTGTTCAAAATATTTCACATTTAAATTCCTTCCGTTCTTTCCCCCATATTTCAAATGTTCACATGATGTAGGTACCATATTGCTGCTTCTAAAAATGAAGATTTTGAAGCAAAGAGATTTAATTAGGACTTCAGAAACATGATAGTCTAAATTAAGAAAGGCTCTCTTCTCAATTGCAAATATATAGAAATGCTAGATAAAATAAAACAATGTATCATGGCTCAAGGTAAAGATGGGGAAATCTCTAACCACCAGAAACTAGAAAGATACCTGCAGACATAGCAGTGATTACATGGGCTAAACAACCCAGGCAAATAGAGGGCCAGGAGCCAGGGCTATGCAGTGGGCAAAGCTCCATGCCCCAAGGCCCTCTAGGACTCTCATTCCTTTTTAAACCCACTTTAACCCAGTTTTCATGCCTAGTATGTCCTTTCAGTTTTCCCTCTTGGATGTCTAATGGCATCTAAAATGAACATGTCCAAGACGAACTCCAGATATTCCCCCCCCCAGAAAAGCTGTTCTCCCCACAGCCCTCTCCATGATTCATTTATTAGTTGTCCATTTAATAAATGACAACTCCATTCTTCTAGTTGATCAGGTTAACAACCTTGGAATCATTCTTGACTCTTCTTGGTTTCTTATATCCCACTCCCAATGCGTCATCAAATTCTGTTACCACCACCAGCCTTTTATCACAGTATCTTTTTCTATTACCCTGGTCTACAGTACAGTCATCTCTTGCCTACTTTATCATAGCAACCTCCTAAGTGGCCTCCTACTCCTTCTCTTGCCCATATTTCTGTCTATTCTCACAGCTGATGGTGTATAAAAGAAGGAAGGAAGGAAGGAAGGAAGGAAGGAAGGAAGGAAGGAAGGAAGGAAGGAAGGAAGGAAGGAAGGAAGGAAGGAAGGAGAGAGAGAGAGAGAAAAGAAAGAGAAAGAGAGAGAGAGAAAGAAAGAAAGAAAGAAAGAAAGAAAGAAAGAAAGAAAGAAAAAGAAAGAAAGAAAAGAAAGAGAAAGAAAGCGAGCAAGCCTATCCCTCTCTGCTCACAAATTTATTTTACTTGCATCCCTTTCTCAGAGGATAGTTGCAAAGTGTTGTTCATAACCCTAAGACACGGCCTGATCAGGCCCTGGCCGCCTTGCTGACCTCATGTCTTACCATGCTCCTCCTCCTCCTCTGCTCCATCTGCTCCTGCCTCTTGTTGTTTCTTAAACACACCAGCAAGATTCCTGCCTCTGGGCAGGAATAACTGATCATGACTGATAATGACTAATGTCACTCTCCATGGGATATTTGCATTTGGCAAGGCTTTGGCTAAAACAAAAAAAGTTTCAGTAATGGATTACTAAGCCATTTTAGAAGACTTTGGAGGAGGATTCTTGGGAGGAAGTAACCCCCCTGTGTTTCTCTAATCACATAGTTTGATTATGATATGATATGACTCAGGCATTAATATAGTCACAATTTCAAATTTTTAAAAAGTTTCATGGACTTTAGAACTAATAATCTTTCCCAGTTCTCCTTTTCCCGTTATTCTTTAACAGCCATAGATAATAACTTCTGCTTTTCCTTAGAGAAGTCATGCAATTAACACAGTCTTGGGGTGGAGTTTTTTAAATGCAGAAGGTTTCAGAGACAAATATTTACCTCTACAGGTAACCAGAACTAGAATGGTCAGTGCCTAGAAGCCTCTCTTCTTTGAAAGGAATTATCTCCTGATCAGGTTCTCTCTGCAATCCTCTTTAGATTGTGAAATGTGGCTCAGGATGTTTGCTGCTTTCCTTTCCTTTGTAACAGGTGCTTGCTCGGGGCTGAAGGTGGTGGTGCCATCACATACCGTCCATGGCATCAGAGGTCAAGCCCTCTACCTCCCTGTGCACTATGGATTCCACACTCCAGCATCAGACATCCAGATCATATGGCTGTTTGAGAGACACCACACGATGCCCAAATACTTACTGGGCTCTGTGAACAAGTCTGTGGTTCCCGACTTGGAATATCAACACAAGTTCACCATGATGCCACCCAATGCCTCTCTGCTCATCAACCCACTGCAATTCACTGATGAAGGCAATTACATCGTGAAAGTCAACATTCAGGGGAATGGAACTCTCTCAGCTAGTCAGAAGATACAAGTCACTGTTGATGGTGAGTCCACTATAAGTGACATGGACATCTGGGTAGCATGGCAGTTAGCAGTGACTCGGATTAGACTAACTGGGTTTTAGGTCCTGGCTTTCCAACTTTGGGCAAATTAACCCGCAGTGCTTCAGTGTCTTCTACCTCTTGAGGCTTTCTGAGAATTAAATCAGACATGCGTGTAAAGGCGATGCACAGTGCCCAGCTAAAGGTAATCAAGCAATAAGTAGAACTTATTATTTGTTTACCTGGAAACTATCAAGTGTAAAGTTGATAACATAATGAGATGGAGAAAATTGTATTTTCTCAGCAGCAGAATACATTCTGGGAAGAACCCTAATTGTTTCACATGGAGGTTTTTATTTTAGTGCACTGTGTGGGGGAGAATGAGACCTGCTCGAGGACCACACACAAGGAACAATAGAAGTTGTACGAAATGTCCTCTGCGGGACAGTGGGATCAGCTAATTTTCAGACATTTATTTTCCTTATTGAGGTATTTCAGCGGCCTACCTTAAATACACTATGTCCAAAGCCCAACTTCTCATTTTCCCCTCTACACCCATTTTTTAACAATGTGTCTCCTAAATTTTCATAAATACCAACTCCATTCCATCAATTATTTAGGCCAAAACCTTGCCGACACCCCTCTTTCTCTCATGTCCCACATCCTGTCCATGAGTTATTCCTGTCAGCTTCACCTTAAAACATTCAGAGAGTTCCATCACTTCTCACCCCACTACTGCCCTGCTCCACCCACACCTGCCACCTGGCCTCCTGCCTCTGCTCCTGCCTCCTGTAGCTTAAAATCCTCCCATTGCCCTGGCCGGTTTGGCTCAGTGGTTGGAGCGTCAGCCTGCGAACCAGAGTCCCGGGTTCAGTTTCCACTAGGGGCACATTAACAACAACAACAACAATAAATCCCCCCATAGCCTTCTCTCTAACTCAGAATAAAAGTCAAAGTACTAATGATGTCCTACAAGGGCCATCATGATCTCCCCAACATACCCAACACCTATGTGACCCCATTTCCTACCTCCCCTCCCGTCTCTCTGTTGTGGCCATGCCGGCCTCTTTGTTCTCCCTAGAACAAGCCAAAGACACTCACACCTCAGGAGCTTTGTACTTTCTGTTCCCTCTGCCTAGATTGCTTTCGTCCTACATAAAAGCGTGGTCTCTCCCCTATCTCCTTTAGGTCTTGGCTGAAATGTCACTCTATCTGTGAAGCCTTTCCTGACCACTTATACTCCCAAATACAGGAGGTGGCGGAGGGCAGGCAAATCTCTACCTTGAGTTCCTTCCACAGCACTTATTTCCACTCAACATATTATATATTTTTATTTGTTTAGTGTTTCTCTTCCCTACAAATAATATAAGGTCTGAGGGAGCAGGAACTTTGTATTATTTTCTGCTTTGTCCTCAGTGCCCAAACTTGTTGCCATTAGTAGGTCCTCAGTGTCTGTCTGTGGAGCAAATGAGTGGAGACTGGAGAACAAATTTTCAGGGCAACAAGAACACAGGATGTGCAAGCAGATGCCTAGAGAGCAAATTGGGGGGAACAAAAAGGAGAAAATTATAAAGGGAATTTTATGAACTTCTCCTGTGTAGCATCCTGCCTCTCCCCAAAACTTTTACAAGAACATCCATCACTTGTTAATGTGTAGTAATATTGGATCTGTTTAGAGAAATGCAACCAAAAAGCCTTAATAAGGGTTTAGGGCCCATACAAAATGTCTTCTCAGGAAACTTCCACATCTGAGTTACACTATTTTAGGCAAATGTGTGATTACAATACTAACATCTATTCTCATGATTGATTCTCTCCGCACGAGACTTTTGACATGTTACCTATTAGACTTATTTCATACCACAGGTATTTCCACACATAGACATATTTGACACATATGCTTTTTTTTATGGACTAAATGTACACAACTCATTTTTCTTTTAAAATCATAATAATGTAAACAGAGCTATTCCAAATCCTTTGTTCTTGCCAGAGAAGATAAAGGATTAAATTACGTAGACAAGCCAGTTGATCACACCCATCTTGGGAAAGGCTGGAGGCTTCAGAACCGCTCAGTTGCCCTGCAGGCTGCCCCTTCAACCCCCTTTCTCCTTATCTTTCCTATTTCAGCTCCTCTGGGCTGAAGGCTTGGGTCTGTTTGTTCCATAGCAAACATTTTCCAGCGTAGGAAATTGCATGAGTCGAGACAGATTTACTTAAGATACATCAACCCCAGTTAAAAGCTTGATAGGAAATTGAAATCTTAATATTGGAGCCAGTCATCTGTCACATATATCATCGCACTTTCTGTGTCCTGTAGTCATACACAGGAGATTATTAAACGCCTATCTCTCCAAAATGCTGGAAAGAAACACTGCCTGATTTAAAGTCCTCTTCATTTTACCCCTGACTGCTGTGTAACTCTGGGCAAGTCACCATCTTTTATTAAACAAAGTCAAGAACCTCAAAAATTAATGAAGATTGCTGAAAATGGTTGTGGATACTTAGGAAATTTTCAGCCTCATACAACAATGTTAGAGTTAAAAATCAGGGAAGAAATATATACTCATTCTTGGAAATTTAGTTATTTGACAGATATTATATGACTAGTGTATCAGGCTCATGACATCTCAAAGTTCCAACAGGAATCTCTATTGGATTTATCTTTTATATCCCTAATTTGATGTAACCCCAGTAACATATTTTGTCCTATTTTTAGATTAAGTAAGCTTTGAAATGTAGGCATTGGTGTGAGTGACAAATGTAATGCTGCAACACAAATACACAGCAATTTAAAACATATAATTAGTTTGTGTACATAAAAGGAAAAATAATTGGTACATATATGATTCTCTAAAACTTTCCCTCAATTCCCTACAAGTACAATATACGTGAGCTTTATATTTTGTGAATGGTAGGTAGAAATCTGGGTTCACCACATCCAAACCACCAGCAGCTCTTGGGACTTAGGACAAATCAAGAAGGGGACTAACCACGTTAGCTATGTCTGTGAGAGTCTACCTTTATAGTGCTGGCAGCACACACGCAGGAAACAAGGCAGCTGAACTTCGTTCTCTATAAAGGTTTTCCTGAGAAAATCCTTGAAGAGAAAGTTCTAGAATGTGTTTTTTCCTGCTATAAATGATATTTTTATATTTTACTTTTTCCATAACTTTTTATTCTTTTCTTTAATTATTGCCTGAACTGTCCACGTTTATGAAGTATAAAACTGTAAAATCATTTCTCCAGGATTTAATATTTGAGAGACCTCATAGTTTTTATTACAGTGTAGTGGTGGTAAAAATCATCTCTCTCTCTCGATATTGCAGACCCTGTCACAAAACCCACGGTACAGATTCAGCCTTCCTCGGGGGCTGTGGAGTATGTGGGGAACGTGACCCTGACATGCCTCGTGGAAAAAGGCACCCGGATGGCTTACCAGTGGCTCAAAAATGGGAGACCTGTCCGTTCCAGCTCCACCAACTCCCTTTCTCCCCAAAACAACATTCTTCATATTGCTCCAGTGACCAAAGAAGACATTGGGAATTACAGTTGCCTGGTGACGAACCCTGTCAGTGAGATAGCAAGTGACAGCATTATGCCCACCATATATTGTAAGTGAAAAAAATAAAAAGCATGAGTTTACTTTTGGGAAGTTTTCATAAGAGTAGGCACAGAGCCTATCAACACTAGATGTCATTTGGTTTTTACTGTTATTGTAGTGCAGTTGTAATCACACTTCCTAGGCACTGTCTTATTATGAAATATATTTACTGATACAACCCAATTTCTTGAAGTTCAAGTTGAGATACTGGTCAGGGGCCTTTCAGGATCATTTGTGACTTAGTGCATTACGTAACCTTATTTCTAGTGGAAAACAGGAACCTCAATTTCAAGAACCCAGAACTATGCAGAAGGCACTAAGTTATTCATCCCCAAGGAAGAAAAGTCGGTCGTCTTAAACTAGGAGAGGGATGGGCTCTGTAGCTGACCGAAGGGGACAGAATGCCTGGGCTGGCCGTTCTCCCCGACCACTTACTCAGCTCCATCTTAGAGTCAGGGCTTAGGGAGGATCATAGTCAGAGAAGATCTAATTGCTCCTGAGTAAGGTATTCAGTTTCCCAGGGAACAGTAATTGTATCAGATTTCAATTTTCTTTGGTTCTTTTTGTTGTTGTTGTTGTTGTTGTTGTTGTTGAACCTCATGTACAGAGTTAAGTTCATCAAACTCCAGTTCATGTCATAACATTGTCACCAACCCAAACAAGTTCCCTCTCTTTATTTATTATATTTTTAACCCAGTCCTCTCTGCTCCATAGCACCACCTCCAGCATGTTTAATATCGCATTCTAATTTTAGCTTTGCACAGAGTTTCTCTCTCTCCACACTAGTGACATTTTGGGCTGAACAATTCATTGTTATGGGATGTTTATAGGATGTTTAACAGCATCCCAGTCTTCTATCCACTACATACCAGTTGTGACAACTAAAAATGTCTCTGGACGCCCTGGCTGGTTGCTCAGTGGTTAGAGCATCAGCCTGCAGACTGAAGAGTCACAGGTTTGATTCCCGTCAAGGGCAGGTACACTTCAGCTGAGGTTCAGTACTGGCCCTGGTCAGGGTCATGCAGTAGGCGACCAGTTAGTGTGTCTCTCTAACATCAATGTCCCCCCCCCCCTTTCTCTCTTTTTCTCCCCTTCCCTCCCACTCTGTCGGAAAATAAATGGAGAAATATCCTTGGGTGAGGATTTTTAAAAATAAATAAATAAAAATGTTTCTGGACATTGCTGTATGTTCCCTGGAGTGGGAGACAGGGGGCAAAATCTCCACTAGTTGAGAACCAATGCTTATCCCACTGGGAAGTCATCTTTTCAGTGACCATGGAGTTTAGAGCACAGCTACAACAGCAAAGGAAAACTGCTCACCCCTGTGGCGTGAGGGTGGAGGTTTCAGCTGGTTGAACCACTAGAGTAGAATTAAGCCTGGTAATCTCTCAGAATTCAGTGTCTTAAAGATAAACCAGTTCCTTCTGTCAGGAACAGAAGAAATTTTATTAAAGGGTGACAAAGAAATTATGATTTCTCACAGAGAAATACCAAAACACCACACACCGCAAACAAATTATATAAGATTTGTTACAATCATTAGTTGTAATAATATCATTAACAATGGTACTACTTTTATAGCTGAACTTTTAGTTTTAGTTTTATTTTTATAGTAGTTTTACGTAAATTCATATTCAGATAACATTGTGAAAATACTCTGCTGAGAAACAGATTCATAAAGAAAATAAAAATTGTGACTATATGCACAACTAGCATTGAATTGGAGTAAAAAACGGATTTGGTACCATCTATTTAGTATGTGGTCATATTCTTGACTGATATGAGTTAAAACTTCAACTCAACTCCAGGTAACACAGACCTTAGCTTTCAAGTGACTTAAAGAAGGTGCAAGAAAATGTGAGCAAAGTGAATCAAATCTAGGGCTATGTGAACACATTCTTACTTTATCCCTTATTGTTTGATCTAAATTGTTCACATTCACATAGAAAAGGTACAAAATGCAAAGCAAGATATTAAACCAATCTACTGAATATTAATCCCAAGGAACCATCATCGTTCAACGTAGAGACAGACAACAGGAAGTGAGACTGTGTGGGAGCATTCCTTGTTAACTGTAGAAAACCTGATCATGTTTTATTTTGACCACCTTCTCTAATTAACACCACGTCATTTGGAGAGTTCAGTGGACCGACAGCGCAATGGTTATAAGCCTCAGCTGTGAATTCAGACTGCCTGGGTTAAAGGCCTGGTTCTGCTTCTTTCTGTGCATCCGTTTCCTGGTCTCCGCATCTACACTCTCCCCGATGTAGGAGGGATGGAGAGAATTAAGTGAAATTCTATGTATAAAGAAATCAGTGAGTGGCACATAGGAAGAACTCAATAATGTTAGCTCTTTTTTATCCTTTTTATTTCCTTTGAGCCAAAACTATGCTGACATAATTGGCAACATGGCAGCAAGAAGTTATGGAAAACCTGGATAATTTAGAAGATAACCTGCAAAGAGAAAATTGAAAAAATAACTTTAGAAAAACTTTTTTTCTTTCCTAAACATTGCCATTTTTAAAATTTAGCATGCTTTAGTTTTCTATATGAAAAGATTTTCTTTACATCAATTCTTTCTTATATCTCTCTCTCCATCCATTTACATATCTTTAAACTCTGGCCAAAGATTTAAATAAAATATTCCTGGGGGAAATTGCATAAACAATTACAGGCACATGAAAATATCATTTGCATTTCTACACTTTTGTTTTGCTATATAGTTTATTTTAATCTTGAAAAGTGAAAATGAGATTTTTCTTTCAACATGTTCAAGTTTATGCCCCAATCTCTTTATCTTCATAGAATATGCTGATGCACAATATGAAAAGTATAAAAATGGGGCTAATACCCATAATCATACTGTAAATTTTAAATTTAATACTTTAAATGCTATACCTTTTTTCCTTCCCTGTGTAGTTTGAAACAATTAAAATATCCCAATTTGCATGAATTCAGATTTTCAAATATATCTTCTTTTACAGACTAATCTCTCTTCTTCACATTCTTTTAGACATAATCTATGGAAATAGCACAGAGAACTGTCTATCATGAGTATAGACTAATGACAGTAGAAAGAAGAACATTGAGAAAATTCACAAATGTGGGTTCTGTTTACATATTGTAAATAGGAATACCTGCATGATTTAAGATTTTTACTCTTAAGGGGTATTTGTAAATATAGTATTATTATAATTAATTTTCTTGGTTTTGGGTTATAAGAATTAAATAAAATATATAATCTGAAGATTTTTCATTTATCCTTTCTATCAATGTTGCATCAACCTGTCTGCAATCTCTATCATTCCATTCAAACTGGGAATGCATGCCTTAGTTGATGTTGTACCCTCTTCTTTCTTCACCTGCTTACATGTTCCTGGTTATATCCTCTCTAGAACGGCTCACCTGCCCCCACTTTGTCTCACCTCTTCTATGCCCCTAAGAGGTTCTCTGTGCTCCTGCAGTACCCAACACACATCTCTTCCCTGGTACTCATTGCATTATAATTTCTTGAGTCTCTTCTCCTTGTCAGTGCCCCATCCCAAATAGGAGCTCTACATTATTCATCTTTGTATCCCTAGGGCAATACTTGACACAGAATAAGAACTCAACCGAGGTTTCTTGAACTTGATTAAAATGACACAGATTATCTTTCTTTATATCCCTTTCAGATTCCAGTGTTACTTAATGATGCTGTAGAGAGGCTAAATTCCCATTATAAGATAACAGCTTCTTCAAGTGCTTGTGCCTTTCATGTTGTTATTGTTTTTCTGACCTTTAGCAAAGTTCCTCAATAATTTAGTAAATGTCATATTTCAATATTTTTCCAAAGAGGTCCACATCATAATTGAGAATGTCAGAATGGGTAACCTATTCTGTTTTCCTAAGACACTGTTTCTATGACCACTTCTTTCATGAAAGCAGGAATTACTTTGTATTCTGGCAGAAAAAGTGTAACAAAATCTATCAAGATTGACCATATATTTATGAAGATATAATATCATAATCTGGTATTGGTCCTGGTAGAATACAATGTCAAGCCAGTAATTCAGATAAATATCTACTTGAAGTTCATGAAATGTATATGTCTTCCAGCTCCAGTTGTAAATAATAACCCAGTAACTACTGCATTTTGTGTGTAGCATATGGCTGCGCTGCAGGGAAGTACTCTAAGTAATAAAAATTAAAGGGAGAAAAAAAAAAAGGTCATTCACAGTAAATACTTACCATCTGTTCCCAAGCAGGGTGGCAAACAGCATCATGATGAAAATTTAGGTAGTGTTCCCGCCCAGCCATAAATTGTTAAAGAGAACAGATGATATGTGATTTTACAAGTCATTTAGTAAACAGCCATTCCTGAGGCAAAGGGTCCACTTGTATTGGGAGTTCTCTGCCAAAGGCAAGAAACTGAACCACAATCCAAAGTCAAAATAGAATTATCCTTCTGCTTTCATCTTCAATGTCAGAGGCCACACTGGTGGAATCACTCCAAATGTCTTCAATTGGATTGCTCGTTCCCATCAATAATGTACTAGGCTGCACCTCAAAGTAAAGGGATGGTCAGCTTGATGTGCTCATGAAAAAGGAAATAACATCATGTATTGAGAAGAAAAGAGATTGATTATAAACAGTGTATAGAGAGTGAAAGATAGAAAAATTGATAGATCTATACAGGAGGGGGAATAGAAGAAGGACTTGAAGATTGTATAGTAAATATGTATATTCATTCCCTGAGTGGTGAAATTACAAATAAGTTTTCATCTTTGTGCTACACTGAATTTTAGAATTTTATGCAATGAACATGTATTTCTGATATAATCAATAAAATAGGTTACATTTTAAGAAATCATATCAGAAGCAAGAAACTAAAATGCTTCAGTTCTAAGAACTGTAAGAAATTCCTGTGGGGAGCTGGGGGAGTTTGTGGTAATTGAGACTGACTGTGAAGAGCCAGATATAGCATATAATTAAGACAGGAGAAAAGATTATGCCAATCATAAAACCCAACAAATGGGGAAGTAGCAAAATCAAAATAAACATGAGTGTAGGGAAAATATGGTAAGATCATCAGATTTCTTTATATAGAAGCATGTTTTATTTTAAACTAGGATGATGTTATTAAATTAGATAATCAACCTTATTCACCAGCCTGCTCTCTAAATAACTGTGGGCTTTCTCTACAAATCAAACGCACTCTCCAAAATGGAAGAATTACTATTTTTGAGAATATTCCATTATGTTGCAAGGTCTTAATGAGCGGTTACCAAAAAAAAGCCTTGAGTAATGTCGGCACACTTTGAACAAAAGTTCACTCATTTTTATCAATTTATGTGTTAAATTATCAGGCCATTTGTTTTTATAGTCACAATGTATAAACTCTGAAAACCAGTGGGAAGGCAGAGGCTCATACTGAATGGCTGATTTTTTGTTTTTTGTTTTGGTTAATCCTCACCTGAGGATATTTTTTCATTGAATTTTAGAGTGTAGAAGGGAAGGAAGGAGAGAGAGAAAGAGAGAGAAACATCGATGTGAGAGAGACACATCGACTGGTTGCCTCCTGCACAACCCCGACCAGGGCCAGGGATCAAACCTGCAACCCAGGTACATGTCCTTGACTGGGAATCAAACCCGTAACCCATCTGACCCCGGGCCAACACTAACTGCTGAGCCAAATTGGCTAGGGTGGAATGGCTCTATTTTTATGACCATACTTTTCTTTATCGGCCATGCTCTGCTCTCAGAAAGGCTCTCACACTTTCATTTTTGTGCACAGACTTGGGTCCCTTGTTGTTCCAAACCTTGGTTGATTCCTCCCACTAGTTTTCTACTATATGAACCATAACCAGCACCCACCAGTTGGTGGCCTTTGCTTCCCTAATGTTCTTTCCTTGATGACAATATGAGGGGACCCTACTGCTCCGCTGGCCCTAAGATAACCAGACAAGAGGGTTCCATTTTAGAACCACAGTTCTAGAATAGTGGTTTTCCTGAGACCATATCATAGCCTGAAATAGTGTGACAGGGTTCCAGTGCAGTCACAGGAAAGGGACATTCATTTCTCTTCACTTTAATGTTCATCTCCAGTTCCTGGTTACTCCAAACATCTATGATTGCTTTCTGAAAGCAGGATCATCTCATGTATACACATTAATCTACAGGTTTCCTTCAGATGTCTTCGTGTCTTTAGGAAGCAAATATGTATAAAGCGTATGTTCCCTAGCTAAATATAATTCTTTTTATGCATCTTCTGCCTCTGTTATATCTTAGGAAATTTATTTCCCCAATTGTAGATTGGTCAGAAAATGCTGACATAATAGAGAACTACTCTGGGAATCTGCAAATTTGGGGCTGGTTTGCCAGTATCCAATATAGCTTTAGTACGGCATAAATCATGGTGTTTCAAGGGTAAAAGAAACCTAGTCAACCTTTTTAGAGTAAAGGTGAGAAAAATGAGATCCAAAAAGTTTAAATGACTTCTGAAGAACACTTAACTAATCATTGAAAAAAATCAGGATTTAACTACTTACCTGTCCTACGTCTAGTCACTTCATTATTCCACATTATGAGAGATGAAATAGCTGGTACCATTTTTTAAAAATCAGAACCTTTAAGAGTAGGTTATTACTGAGCAAACCATCCACAGCTTTACCCAGTTTATAAATTTATTGAGAGTAGGAACTGTCTTACACATTTTTTATCTCTCATATATTACATTAGCTAACACTTAGTATCTCTCAAACAAGTATTTATTGATTGATTACTTGATTAAATGAGTACAGAATTAGTATCTAATTAGATAATAATTAATTGTAGAAATAATAATATAGACAAAAAGAAACTATTTTGAAAATTATATCACTTACATTTTTAGAGAGGTAATATGAATGATTAAATGCATGTATTTTAGAGTCCCAGCTATGCTATGTAATAGCTATATGACCAAGGCAAAATTAATTTGTAAATATCCCTTCCTTCATCTTATAAGGGGAATAATTACATCTACTTCATATGGCTACTTTAAATATTAAATGTGGTTATCTACATTAATAAAGTGTCTTCAGATGGCAAATATCCAATAAATGTTGGTTATGATCTGCTGTAAAATGAGCACAATCATGCCTAAACCTTGAAGTTTTTGGAACAAAAGCCAGGATTTAAACTGAATGAGAAAAACCTATTTAGTTGGGAAATATATTTTTAATCTCTCTATTGTATGCAGAAAACAATGGGAAATGTGTCTTCATCTGCAGGCAATTTGATGCTATAGAAATAGTAGGATGTTATAGGAATATTGTAGTATGAGAAAACACCATGAGCTATCCATGATTAAGTAATTTATTGATGGTCAATGAATATTTTTAATAATAAGATGTATTTTTTTTTCTTATTGGAATTCTAGGCTTAGCTTGTGGAGAGGAATTTTAAAACTTTGTTTACTGTTAAAATGTCATGAAAATATGCACATATTGAACATTCCTTATATTTATTTGCACAAATTTATCTTCCATGTGAAACTATGTACCTATATTTTATAAATACTTACATGATATATTCTAGCACTGAGAAAAAAACAATACTCAAAGTATGATTGTCAAGGAGAAAATAATGGTTATAATCTATTTTTAAATGCTTTCAAATACAATTACTCTTTCAGAAAGATTAAATTTGTCTAACAAGATTGCATATTTATTAATACATTGATCAAAGGCTTAGCACCATGATTATGACAACAGTGCCTGTAAAATTGTATATACCAAGTTTCAGGGCTTTCACTATTTCAGACAAGTTCAGTCACATCTCAAATAATTACTATTTCTATGAATATCAGAATAAAATATGTCTAGGTTCTTATCATTTATTGAGAGTCTAAATGAGGACTATTGGCCCAGGTTTAACATGAAGACTTTCATAGAAAATAAAACGCTAAGCTCTCCCAGACTTATAAACTATGTCATGATTATTTATGTTATCCCTTTATTTTTTTCAACTAATGCAGATGGACCTTATGGTCTTCGAGTTAATTCTGATAAAGGACTAAAAGTAGGGGAAGTATTTACTGTTGACATTGGAGAAGCCATCTTGTTTGATTGTTCTGCTGATTCATACCCTCCCAACACCTACTCCTGGATCCAGAGAACTGACAATACAACATATGTCATTAAGCATGGGCCTCGCTTGGAAGTTGCGTCTGAGAAAGTAGCCCAAAAGACAACTGACTATGTGTGCTGTGCTTACAACAACGTAACTGGAAGGCAAGATGAAACTCGTTTCACAGTCATCATCACTTCTGTAGGTAAGTGTGACATCAAAGGCAGGGATCCCAGTGAAACACAAATGCATGCTGGCTTACTCTACCCCTATTTGATAACTATGTGGAAGAAAGTATCATTGTGGGATTGCTGATATACTCTAAGAAACTCTAGTTAACTAAGCCATGGCTTCTATGAGTCAAAGAAAGAAAACAAAACAGAATAGAGAACAAATTCAGTTGCTAACTCTGAGGGACTGAGAAGGAAAAGAGAATTCAATAAATTATGTACTTCTAAATAAGCTTTCTTGCTTTTCTGATTTTACAAACAGCAATACAACAGAAGCAGGCTACTCATTTAAAAGGCTTATATCTAGTGTTGCATTAGGTCAGATGAACAAATTTCCAAGAGTTGGAAATCTGATTTTCCTACTATTTAACTCTTCTTCTCACTGTCTTTTATGGTCTTCCCTTCCTCTTTCATAATTTTTTTTTAAACATCTGAAATTTGGAAGTTCTCAAAAGGGGTCCTGGAAATTTTTGAAAGTCTGTGATATTTTACAGTCTCTAGAAATCATATGATTTTTTCAAAAAGTTCATGGAAGCACAAAAAGTTGAGAATCACTGCTTAAAATATTTATGCCCACCAAATTCCTATCCTTCCGAGACTCCTCTTTTCTTTCTATAGTATGATTTTATTCTCTTGTATGATTTCATTCACCCCCATGGTTTCATGCAACATTGGTGCATCTCAAATCTGCATCTTTAAAACTCTAAAACTGTATACCTAGTTCCCTTCTAGAAATCTTCCCTTTTAAGAACCAAAGGCAGCATACAAGTCCAACATATAAAAACTAAACCATCTTTTTTCCCTCCAAATCACTATTCCTTTCTATATTCCACATTTAAATGAATGGCCCTATTGTCTACCAACCTGAACTAAAATTATAAATGCCATCTCAGACCCTTTTCTTGCTGATTGCCCTGCCCAACATCCAGTCACCAAGTTTGTACATTTGTCTTCCATCCTATCTCTCAGACCCATTCTTTTCTCTCCTTCTTTTTTCTTGTTTCTTTTTCTTCTCCCTCCCTCTCCTGCTCCTCCTCCTCTTCCACCACCTCTTCTCTTTTTACTTCTTCCTCTACTACCACTAATTCTATTCCTACTATCAAATCCTTCATTGACTCACCTTTGCATACCAAGAAGCCAGATTCCACTTGGGAAACACCTGGGAGCGGGTTTGGACAGGCAGCAGTGTTCAGGGTACCTCTGATTGGAGGAACAAGGTTGAAAAAGGAACCACCATTAATACCCTCTCCACTGATGTCTTCTATTTCCCTGTCTTTATAACTCTGGTGCCTAGAATAATGCCATAACATATAAAGATACATTTTGTTGAATAAATGAAACAAGAACATAATCCTTATAATTCATAGGCTACATTTTTCAGTATGTGGCCCTTGGGCCACGTGAATGAAAATCACCTGTCGTGGTCTAATAATGTATTTTCATTAAAATACATCAAACCTTTTGGATCAGGATTTTGCAACTAGGATCTGAGAATCTGAATATTTAGCAAGCATATGTGTGACAACCACTTGCTTAAAGTGTTTCTCTCTCTCTCTCTCTCTCTCTCTCCTGCCTTTTTAATTTATTAAAAATCTCTTAAAGAGCTATTAATTATTATAAGACTATCACAAACCTACAGGTTAATAAAGAAATATATAGTGGATGGAGTCCTCCCCAGACTCTTTAAAATTGAGGGTATTCATGGTGGGATTTGGGGATTTTTATATAAAGAAAATACCACCCTCTCTAGAAGAGTGCTATCCAGTAGAACTTTCTGCAATGAGGGAAATGTTCAATGTCTACACTAACCAATGTAGCAGCCACTAGCTTCATTTGGCTTTTAGACTCTTAAAATGTGGTTATGCAACTGAGGAACTGAAGTTTTATTGCATCTTTTGTTTTTGTTTTTATATTTTTATTGATTTCAGAGAGAGGGAGAGACAGATAGAAACATCAATGAGAAAGAACCATCAATCGGCTGCCTCCTGCATGCCCCCTACTAGGGATCGAGCGTGCAACCTGGGCAAGTGCCCTGACCAGGAATTGAACAGGCGACCTCCTGGTGCATGGGACAATGCTCAGCCAACTAAGCCACACCAGCCGAGCATATCTTATTCATCTTTATTAATTTAAATTTAAATGTACATAGCCACATGTGTCTGGTGACTACCATATTGGACAATGCTGCTCTAGAATTTTTACCTGAATGATGTTCCATTTGGGCAGTAGATAATATATTTCCTTTATAGATCCCAAAGTATATTGTAAATAGGGTGATATAAATCAGGCACTCATTCATTCATTATTTAGCACCTATTATGGGCCATATATAGGATTAGGCCCTAAGAATGCCAGTTAAAGAAATAATTCCTGCTAACAAGATGTTCACAACCTAATTTTGGTAGCAGGCATGTAAAGCAACTAAAGTGCATCCTTTGCTTTCTAATTGACTTGATTTTTAATAGGCTTAACCAGCTTTTTACCTCAGGGGTAACCAAAACCTGATTTTGAAGCAAGCCATAACTAAGCGTATAAAATACTAGTTTATCAGTAATCTGGATGTCATCTTAGACTTGTTCTTCATGCCTATTGCAAGTGAAAACATGGTCATAATATGTAGATGTATACTGCCTTGTCCACTGCCTAAACTTTCTTCATTAATATTTAGCCCAAGGTATTTTCATAAGATCAGAAGCCCCCAATATGTGATTAAGGTCTTATTACTAAAGTTCAAAGACAGCTATGGTCCATCAAATAATTGCCTTTTGCAAATTCTAAAACACCTGTTTGACCTGTACAAAGACCAGGCATTTGTTATTATAGTAAATAAGAGGAGCAGGTGCTTATTTTTACAGAGGGATTCAGGGTTGTAAACATTAGTGACCGCTTTGTGGTTTTTAGAACTATATTTCAACCCCCCAAACGTCCATAGAACTTTAAAACAGTGACAAATGGCAAATAAAATGAGTAGTCGTGATGTGTTTTGTTAGGTATTTGATTTTTTAAAGTTTTCCAAATGAATGAATCTCTACAATGCAGATTAAGTGTATATCAACCTACAGTTAAGAAAAATGAACATCACTTGTAACTATCAAACATTTACTGACTGTCCACTCTGATCAGCAATCTGTATTAAGATCTGTGGAGAATTTGAAATAATGTTGGGGAATAACGTATCTTCCTTGGAGATATTTTCGGAACCAAGCTGTGTTTGGTATAACCAGAATCAGGTTATAAGAAACAGATGAGCCCTGGCCGGTTTGGCTCAGCGGTTAGAGCGTCCGCCTGCGGTCTGGAGAGACCCGGGTTCGTTTCCCGCTAAGGGCATGTACCTCGGTTGCAGTTTGTCCCCGGCCCTGGTTGGTTGTGTGGGTGGCAGCCACTCGATGTGTCCCTTTCACATCGATGTTTCCCTCTCTCTCTCTTCCTCTCTCTCCCTCCCACTCTGTCTGTACAAAAAAAAAAAAAAAAAAATAAGGAGAAACAGATGAACCTCTTTATTTTTAATGAGGCAGAGAATGTGGTCAACCAAAAAGTCTTAGCAAAGATGTAGAGGGCAAAGGAAAAAGGAGTCAAAGATGACTCTGAGGTCACCAATATGGAAAGAAAATAACAAGGTCAGGAAATAATCAAAAGTTACATTGGGGACTTTCAGCTGGGAAAAGGAAGGCTGGAGAATGTCACAATGAGCTCTCTGTTTTCCTGCCTGTGTAAGATGGTGCCTTCCACTGTGGGCTATGAGTCACATCTCATTTGAGATATTAATTGACCTTTCTGTATCTCAGTGGAGATATCCCAAAGAAAACAGGGCAGTGGTTAAGGTCACATAGCTAATAAGTAATAAAATAATGTCTGAATTCAAAGCCCTTGTTTTTAACCACTGTGAAAATTGTTTTTGACTGAGAATATCAATAAGACTATGATCTTTCTAAAAGATATGTCACATATACAAGATAGTGTGTATTTTCTCATCATCTTAACTAATTTTTATGCTGTATACAAAGAGACACTCTGGTTTGTCCGTGATGTGTATACATTCATGTTAAAGAGAAATTATGAAATAGCTATAACTAAAAATAATTAGAATATAAGTTTCAAGGAAAGAATAGAAATTAAGATAGTAAATGAGCACTGTATCTTGAAGAAAACACAATAATTTCATTACCCTAAATAAAGACTTACTTGAGTGCAGGTTTTCCTACTTTTAAATTTTACTAGGGTCTAAATCATTATTGTGCCATGCCATATATATATATATGATGTATAATTTTAATTTGAGTGTTCCTGTTTAATGAAGACATTCAAATTATTAGTTTCCAAAGTCCACATGATTGTAGTTTGAGATTTAGATATAATAGAAATGTTTTTAATTTGTATGTGATCCTGAGAAGGGAATAGGAAAAGGACCAAGGTAGGATAATGAATTCACTAAATTCTTCTATCTACCTAGAAAATGTTCAGGTTAAGATGTCCAGGAGGTGTTTTTCACTCTGGGCCAAGGGAGAAAACGACCAAGATAGAACGACATCCCTGACAGAGAATAAGAACTTAAGTGACATCCCCATGAGCATCTAGCATCTGTCAGACGGGGCCACGGCAGGGTGTGAAGACAGCACATCCTTCAGTATGGCACCTACATCTCTGTAGGGACATGAATCAGCTGCCATAGTCGGGGAACATATTGGATGGGAGAGAGCTCAGACTCCATTCTGATCTAGAAATAGGCATGCTGACTGGGAGCATATGGCTGTCCTCTTTTGGGTGCAGTCTCTCAAGCAGCCGGGTTGCGATACCATGGATACCACACCTCTTGCCTATATTTACACTTAATATGTTATTTCATTTTATTTGTTTGCCTAAGGAGGGGGCAAACAGCATTTGCACTAAGGCTTTGGTAAATGAGTCAATCATGTTTAAATAATGGGGAGAATGGCATGCTATGTCCTGAAGAGTAGAAACCTCTCTGAAAGGAGAAAGACGGGCTCCTGAAAGGGTCCGGAGTACATTCAGAATCCCTGTACATTCTCTGTGGCACTTGGGTCAGAATGTCCCTGCTGACAGAATGTCCCAGAATGTCAAGCCGTGCTTCTGGAAGTACTTCTCTCCTACAGATACTTGCCTAAAGCTGAGACCGCAGCAACTTTGCCCCTTGATTTGATCCTTGACATGTTTGGCACATTTTATTTTGTGAAAGGGAACACATTTCAAATGCCGGACCTGGTAAGTCTCGTATGTTCTGAGATAGAATGAAGCCAAGGATTTGGGCTGACAGGTGCTGGTCACTACAGGGTGGTTCTCTGAGGCAGGGCAAACAGAGGCCATGGGGAAGAGAGGCAAGAGGGCAATAAGGAAAGAGTCTAAAGAAATAAGGAAGTAATGGAAAAGGGAATGAGAGAGATCCTCTGCAGGACAGAAGGTGTAAATGTGGTCATTTTAGGACATACCTATCAAAGGTGAAAGAAAGTTAGAAGTGGAGGGGGGATATGTTCTCATCTGATGGAAGACATCCATTCACTGTGTTAAAGTAAACTTCAGAATCCTGGAAGAGCCTGCCAAAGAGCCGACGTGTGCTGGAGTGCAGCTTCACCACTACAATGAGAAGTGCTCTCAAACAATAACCATTAGCATATTTTCAAGTTTACAAGGGGAAAAAAGCTGAGATGGTACTAAAATGTTTTTTCTACAGTTTTTCTTAGGGTAAAGCACACTGCAAATATTTGACTAGAATAAATTAACATTGAATACTTTTTTAAGGGCTAAGAGGTTATTAAATTTTGGTAAATCTTGTATGAAGTTAGTCTGGCCATCAAGAAGACAGAGTTAAAGCACACCAAATCCAGTGTTAGAAAAGGTTAAAGAAACAGCAGAATATATAGAAGTCTACCTGCCAATTGTAGAATCATTCTTTAGCCACAGACTAACAGGAAAAAAGCTGAACTTGCCATCAGAAAAAAAGAACAAAAACTTATGTTCCAGTCTCAGTTCTAGGACTTACTGATTGTGGCAAATAGTTTAGTTTCTCTGAGACTATTTCTTTATTTGTACCTAGAAATGGTGCTTTAATGTTTCTTACCATTTTCATTATTATTGATATCATACTTCTATACCAAATAAATGGGGGGAAAAATACATTGGTTTTAGATATACATAATGCTCAACAAAAACATCCCATGAGAATCAATTAGCTATACGGTGAATTAAAAATTGAGTATTGTTTTATTATTTCTAAATTATGTGCTACACATCCTTTATATCAGTAAAAATTATAACTTTCGTGGGTGTGTACATATATATGTATATATACATATATGTATATGTATATATATACATGCATACATATTTTTGAGACTCAGTTACTAGTATATATATACATGCACACATATTTTTGAGACTCAGTTACACAATAAACTTCATGTAAAACTCCCTGGCTGCCCAAATCATATATAATATAGCAGAGCAACAGAGAACTTAAAAATCGCTCTAATCTCCTCATTTTACTACAGTCGTCCTTCGCCACTTCATGCTTCAACTTTATAATAAATGAATCCTACTTCACAGAAATTCATTTATCGCTGTAGAGTCTGGAACTGATTAACCGCGATAAACGAGGGCCGACTGCACTGAAAATCCAGGCCTTCAGAGTCAAGTGGCTTCATCCAAAGTCGTCCAGGTCTTTAGAGAGAACACACCTGTGAAGTAGGCGCACACAGTCTGAAGACAGGCTGACACTCCACACACAGTGATCACCCAATGCCGAAGTAGTTCCAAACGAAAGCTCAGCTTTCTGACAGTAGAATATAACCTGTTCTATAAATTATTAACAAGAAAAAAAGAAGGAAAAACAATCCTAATAAGTTTTGCGATATTCTAGACCAGATCTAGAACCTTTGAATTGCCATTCTGTTCATTTTTTTAAAAAAGTATTTACTGCCCTGGCCGGTTTGGCTCAGCGGTTAGAGCGTCAGCCTGCGGTCCTGAGAGACCCGGGTTCGGTTCCTGCTAAGGGCGCATACCTCGGTTGCAGTTTGTCCCCGGCCCTGGTCGGTTGTGCGGGTGGCAGCCACTCGATGTGTTCCTTTCACATCGATGTTTCTCTCTCTCTCTCTGTTCCTCTCTCTCCCTCCCACTCTACCTGAACAAAAAAATGGAAAAATGTCCTCGGGTGAGGATAAAAAAAAAAAAAAAAAAGTATTTACTGATTTGAGGGGGGTGGGGTGGGGTGGGAGGATTTGTTGTTCCACTTATTTATACATTCATTAGTTCATATTTGTATGTACCCTGACCAGGGATCAAACCTACCACCTTGGCATAGCAGGACAACACTCTAACCTAAACCACCTTGCATTTATTTCTTCCACCCAGAGTTAAAAAGAGTTTAATTTAAAATCTATTTAAGACAAAAATGTTACACAGATATTATAATCCCATAAAAAGAACATTTTAAAAACACAGTACTCTGAATGCATATCAAAAATTTATAACTTCTCATCGAGATGGTAAACTTTTAATAATGAAAAACAAACTGCTTAACTCTTGAAGACTTAAAGAGAATATGTGAACAGCACTGTATGGGAAAACTGGAAGAGATAGAATAATGTCCATGACTTTTTAACTGGAGTTTCACATATACGATCTATACCACATTATAAAAAGATTCTGGGAAGAGGAAAAATGAAAGTGTTTAAGTGGAAAGCCGAGGCAGTATATACAGATCCACAGGAAAGGAGGGAAAGATTAAGGCTTCCCCCTTGTCTGGGCTGCCGGAGACCTCAGCAGAGGTTTTATGGTGACAGATGACAGAGTGCAGGCTGGGTATTTATTGCTGAACCAAGTGGCCACCATGTCTTCATCACATTCACATTCTCCAGACTGTTATCACTGTGAAATGGAAATGACATTCCATGACTTTCACTCCCCTTTAAGCTGGACAGAGACAGGCAACTTCCACAATTCATTTCCATATCAATATATGATTCACATGATAAAATGAAAGACACCTGTTACTCCCATTTGTTGGAGGTCACAACTATGTCCCACTTTATAGATTAATCCTCTGACTAAACATACTATATATATTCTGGAACCAGTGTTAACATTGCTCTGTTAATAAGTTGTGTTAAAATAACACCAAAGTGAGGCAGCACTGAGTGTCAAGAGCCTGGGGTCCCCTCTGGACTCGGCCACTTACTACCTGAGTCACTTTGGGCAAGCCTCAGCTTCCTCATCTGTAAGAGGGACTAATAACAATAATGATAATATCCCCTAATAGGATTATTATAGGCATTCAGTGGTCAGTATGTTTCATGTATTCTTATAACAGAGCCTGACAGAGTGTGAGCACTCAGCAGATGTTAGCGATTAGCACTACAGTTTATATAGGAATGCTAATAAAAGGAATGCCTTGCAAAACAAAGTGAATTTTAGTCACAAGGTGGGACTTTAAATATTTTAACAATCATACACACATTCTATTTTAGGAATAAAATTTCTTCATTGGTCAAAAATTAATAAAGCATATTTAAAATAAACACCTCCCTTTTCACACCTTTAATCAGATATCACCTCCCTAGAACATTCACATACCTGAACTACACTGAGTGCGATGGAAGGAGAGAGAACAACCTAGCATCTAGGGATGTGGTCCACAACGAGATCAAACAGATCTAAATTAAATGGTGGCAAATGCTATTGAAAAGTATGACACGAAAAAAGATAAAGTGTGACATGAGCTATTTGCTGTATCTACTACCACATATCAGTATTATCCTGGGCAGCTCACCACATTTCCAATCACAAATGTCCTCAGAGTTCACTGTGTGTTATAAAATAAGTGTATTCCTTTCATTTAGTCTCCCATTCATATTTTCTCTCATATATATATTTGTGATAGTGTCTCATTTAAGAGAAAGCATGGGCAAGTAAAACTTATAGCAATTTACTATTGCTCTGCAATAAAAATATTAAAACTGTATTTGTCCTTTCACTTAGGACTGGAGAAGCTTGCACAGAAAGGGAAGTCACTGTCCCCTTTAGCAAGTATAACTGGAATATCACTCTTTTTGATTATATCCATGTGCCTTCTTCTCCTATGGAAAAAATATCAACCCTACAAAGGTAGGTTCAAATTAGAAAAAAAAGTGTAAATGGCTTTATATATGTAGTGAAAAGTATTTTACTGTGTTTCTTCTCTCTTGGTTTTAGTTATAAAACAGAAGCTAGAAGGCAGGTAATGCATATGTTTCCATGAAAATACTTTTGTTTCTTGAATGCTTTTTCCTCAGTTAAGACTGACAGAAATGCTAATTTGTCTTTTCAGACCAGAAACAGAATACAGAAAAGCACGAACATTTTCAGGTAATGGCCACTGAACGAGGCTATTATCAGTGTAATGTATATTAATGAAAATTGTTGGTATTAATTATTATATATAAAGTACGAATGGCACAGTAGAGTTCACATAAGCTAATAAGTGAATATTGATGTAATATTAGCAATCCCTTTCCTTTGAATAGTGCCTTCACTTTACAAAGTGCTATCCCTCGAATTGTTTTTATGTAAGTCGCCCGTCTGTAAGACAAGCACTCTGGAGAGTTAAAGGGCCCTGGCTGGTGGGGCTTTCTTGATTGGGCATCATCCCATGAACCAAAGGGTTGTGGTTCAATTCCTGGTCAGGAGAACTAAGGCTCAGAAAGATTAAGTCAGTTGCCCACCATCACTGCGTTCTGCTGAATCCTATTCCATTAATCCTATTATTATTTTCAAAATGCTCAGGGTTCCTACACTTTGTCCATTCCCAAGGCAGACACAATGCTGGCAGCTCCATCCCAGGGAGAAGAAAGGGAGGCTTGACAGGTTTGCTGCTTCTCAGTCCGCAGCAGGCTCCTCATTGCCATCACCACTGACTCCCTGCTGAGTTGTTGTAAGTGAACAATGGGACTTGGAGTCACACAGAGCTGGGTTTTAGTCCACTTGTGCCACTTCCCCCAGTGTTACCTTGGGAAAATTATTTTTCCTGACCTCAACTTCCTCATCTACAGAACAAAGACAACAACCCCCTCGGGGTTGCTATGAGAATTGAATACTGTGATGTGGATGGAGCGCCTAAAATAATGCCTGGACGCTTAGGAAATGCGGGTCTTCTGCTCTTATCTAGTCCTGTCTCACAAATGATAGAATGTCAGGGCTGGGAAGGGCCCCAGAGAGACTGTCTGGTTCCTCCTAACCACCCCACTCCTGTCATTTTTCAGATGATAGCTTAGCGAGCTTGACTTTGTATTGTATTCTATTTTGTACGCATGGGCAGCTATAGTTGTTTGTTTATTCTTGTTAGTCCTGCTGGTCTCTGTTAGATCCAGCAGGGTGCAGTAGATATTACGAGTGGATTAGAGCTACTGTGACTGCCAGGCTGAAGCCTTGGTGGCTGCAAGTCTCTGGTAACTGAGGTTACAAAGGACAAGCCAGCCTATATTTGTTTATTTGACTATGTAATACACTGTTCCCACATCAGGCTTTAAGAATACTTGTCCTGCCCTGGCCAGTGTTGCTCAGTGGTTAGTGTGTTCACCTATGCACCAAAGGGTCTCGGGTTCGATTCCTGGTCAAGGGTACATACCTGGGTTGCAGGTTTGATCCCCAGGCCCCAGTTGGGGTGAGTGTGGGAGGCAACCAATCCACATAGCTCTCTCCCCTTGATGTTTCTATCTCTCTTCCCCTCCCTCCCTCCCTTCAGCTCTTTCTAAAAAAAAAAAAAAAAAAAGAAAAAAAAAAGGAAAACAATATCCTCTGGTGAGGGCTCACCAAAAAAAAAAAAAAATTTTTTTTTAAAGAATACTTGTCCCAATTCAGTTTCAGTTCTAGCTTCAGGAGTGATTTCCAACACTGCTTATAGGGAATTGGGAAATGGTAAATTGGTTGTATACACATATCACTTGAAGCAAACAACAAAGATAAGTTTTACAAAGGCTTTTGTAAGTAGTATTTGTTTTCCATTTCAGGCCACGAAGATGCTCTGGATGACTTCGGAATATATGAATTTGTTGCTTTTCCAGATGCTTCTGGTGTTCCCAGGGTTGGTTTCCCTAGTGGCTGATGAGCAAAGAAGCAGAATGTGCTTCTCCAGAGGTGTAAGCAGCACTGGTTTGTCAAAGGCTGCAATTCGGGTGGCGGTGCAGACTCTGGCTGACGCTGCTGCGTCTGGGGAACTAAAGCGGCTTCCTTAGACTTTATAAATAAGGCTAACACAAATAAGGAAGTGACACCCATTCTCACACATTCTTGGCCTGGTAAGCTCAGTGAAGAGAGAACTAACTAGGTAGAAGGTCAAGAGAAGTGAACAAATAGGGAGTTAGGAGACCCTTTAAGTCACTCTGCATTACTTCAGTGACCACAGCCTGTCACCTCACCTCTTTGCTCCTCAGCTTCCCCTCCACTCCCTCCCTCCATCTCTCTTGAGGACACTGCAAAGACAACTGATCGTACCCCTGAAGGTACCTTACGCTCTTCAGAAGAAAGATCCCATGTAAACCCAAAGTATGCAAGCACACACCTTTATTTTTTCCTAAAGATGCATGAGATGTGAGAGGGGGAGCTTTTACACACAGCTGAAGCCATTTTTTTCAGGCTGCAAAAACACGGTCTTTTAAAGCCATCAGATTTGTTTCATAGTCTGGCAGGATGTTTCTCTGAGTTATTCAGCTCATTAACATCTTTACAGAGTTTTGGAGGACCAACCTTTTCTCAGCTTCCCTATTGCCCCTATGACAGTTCACTTAAGGAAGGAGCCATAAGCGGACTACTTGCTTCTGGGCATTGTTGTTAGGGATGGTTACCTCACTTGTTCAGAGAATTCTGTCAATGTAAGGGTCATGCAGTAAGTTTCCTGGCCACAGACTTGATTTCACAAATGCCATGTGAGCAATGGAGGAGGGCTGATTGGATTTCGTCCTCCTAAGGGTGGGTCAGTAGCACCAGCACCCACATCATCATAGACAAAGGGCAGGACTGCACTGCAGAAGCTTTGCAATGCCCTAGTCAGTCTCAGATAGGGTTGGCTCAGCCTTTATCTGCAGCCAAAAAGGAAAACCAAATATTTGGTGGATCAATTATTTCAAACAGCTTCCCGTGGCAGAAAGCACCCCTCTCAGGCATGGCCTTTAAACAGGAGAGCAGACAACCAAAGAACAAATAAGACTTGGAACTGAATTTTTAAAGTTAGGAGTTTCTTTATTATAAATCAGGCACAGCTTTTATTCCTAGTAATTCATTAGAAAAGAGTGAGATCTGTATAAGCAACTTGACGTTTAGCCTTGTGATGAATCACTCAGTTTGCAGACTTTATTGGGAGAACCTGTATTTGCAGGCAACGCTACACTGGGCGAGAACTTGAGGCCGAGAGATGAGTGCTTTCATTACCTATCAGCCCCTCTTATTTCTGTCATAAGTAGAATACCTGAATTTGAAGCTATGCCCATCTTCAAAACTGAAAACTCCTAAGGAGTCAGCTGAGGCTCTTCACTGGTGCTGGGTGCTTAGGGAAGAAGAGCGAAATCACCACCAACAACAGAAGAGACCGAGAAGGTTGATGACCAGAACATATGCAGGAGGGAGAAGAAACCAGAATGGCAATTATGTGTGAAGATTAGCAGCAAAATGCAATGGCTTGGAGAAGAAACAGAGAAATAATAATAAAACCAAGATCTGAACATTGAAGTTAAGAAGGGAAATAAATCGAATTACTAACTTTTTGAGTTTTAAACAGTAGAATCGCCCTGGCCGGTTTGGCTCAGCAGTTGGAGCATCAGCCTGTGGTCCGGAGAGACCTGGGTTCAGTTCCCGCTAAGGGCATGTACTTCGGTTGCAGTTTGTCCCTGGCCCTGGTTGGGTCGTGCGGGTGGCAGCCACTCGATGTGTCCCTTTCACATCGATGTTTCTCTCTCTCTCTCTCTCTTCCTCTCTCTCCCTCCTGCTCTGTCTGAATAAGGAATGGAGGAATGTCCTCTGGTGATGATAAAAAAAAAGTCAGAATCATCTCCTACCTGGTTGTGGTACATGTACGGAGGGAACACTCCTCTTCTCTCTACTTGCTCCCCTGTCCATGTAGCACCTCTTTTGGAAGTTGGACAGAAAGCAGTGGCGTGAAATCAACAAATTTATTACATGTTAAGAGCTCTAATATTAGGTTAGGTAAGTTAGTTATTATCTATAGACTGCTTTTATCATAACCCTGAATACCTCCATACCAAAGAAAATCAAAAGTTGATCTGAAATGCAAACTGTAAACCAAAATCTCCTTGACACACACAGAAAATACGACAAACCACATATTCTTGAGCTGCCCATGTCAGCTAGCAAGTGGAACAAAAAAAATATAAAGCTAAGATGTTCCAGTATAACCTAGTAAGCCAAATTGGGATGAGATTAAAAAAAAACAACAACAACTTTCAGATGATTTATCAAGGGCACAGAGTCCTGTAGGTGGAGCTACATAAAGGACAGGAAGTGATCAGAAATATGATGAATAGGAGGAATTTGAGATGAGGGAGACCAGACTTTAGCTAAATAATTGAAAGGTGGTATTTTTAAATTTTAAAAATTATTATATACAAATAATAGGAGTTGATAAAACATGAATTGCAATTTCAATAAAATACATGTTGGTTTTTAACAGACAGAAATAGACTACTGTATTTTCCACATTCACCCAAGCCTTTAGCTTTTAGAGCCCATTACTACATTCAAACAAAGATCTCCGTTTGTGTGTTCTATGTTTCTTGGTACTGTCTTTACTAACTTGCAATGTGATGAGGGCTTTTGTCTTTCTTTTCAACCATCCTTGCAGAAATAATTGACAAACGGTGCAAAAAGGTAATCCAGATGTAATATAAAAGATAATATGTGCTCTCTGATTCTAAGCTGTCCTGATATCTTCTCTTTTGCCATTGTTTTCTTTTTATTATATTTCCTTTACAGTACTGCCAGCTTTTTTTCTTAAATGAAGAAAAAACTGATAGCTTTGTCCAGCTATTCCTCTTCTGATCTCATAGCTATGCTGCTACACTAAATACCATAGGGTAAGTCAAGGAACTGCAGCAAGGAGGAAATAAGCATTGTAGGGAAGATACACAGTTCTAATTCCCTACTCATCACTACTTCCAGCTGTTTGCAACTGTGCAGCATAGTGGAAATACTATTTACTGGTCTGCTAATTTTTGTTCTAATGTGCTACATTTTCTAGATGCCCAGTAGGTCTGTTCCAGCCTCTGATGGGGTACCAGGGCAAGATTTGCACAATACAATTTATGAAGTTATTCAGCACATCCCTGCCCAACAGCAAGACCATCTAGAGTAAGTATGAGCCTACCTTTGGTGATGCTACCTGGGAGCAGCTTGGCATTCAGCCTCCCTTTCCCCAGAATGTATTGTAAAGCTCAGAAGAAAAAATTTAAAAATGGGAAATTATAGCTTCTGTATATAGTTCCCCACTTGAAATTAATCTTAAGAAACAAAACAGGCAAACACACTAGTATCATCTGGGGCCATGCACTTCGGGCCACGGGAAGAAATAGTCAACTCTAGAATCTAGCATTTCCCCCAATGAATTCACATCTGGGTATGAAAGAGATCATCAGGCCGGTGCCCAAGCCACCCTGGTTATCTTGATGGTTTTCCAGGGGCTATGGTGGTTTTAGAACCAATGATCTGTAACTACAAATAGGATCAGGAAAAAACAGCAGCAGCAAAATAACCTACAAAATATGCTCAACATTGTCGGCACCCAAATGTCCAACCTCTTAGACTCAAAGCAGTCTACTTCCATGTGAATAGGCCCACAGTGAGGACTGGTCTCCCACGGGGAGGATAAAACCTCAGTTGAGGCCAGGAAACTGCTTACCTAGTTGACCTCGGGACTAACACAGAGGAGTCCCCAACCTTCCCAGCCTCAGAGAAACTGAACCTATACCTTTTTGAAATAATGAAATGAACTTCCCTTTTTTTGTGGGCTTTCGCTGCCTACAGGCATAACTGCCACAAATCATCTTTCATCATTTCTTTATTTGTCATTTATTGACTTTGAAAAGAACATCAATAACCACACACAGGAACTTCCCCCCTGGCAAAAGAAACAGTTCTAGCAAAGTAATTCATGCACACCTCTCGGTAAATACCAAAAATAACCACTAGCAGTGGATGACCGCATGGGAAATCACCTTGCAGAGAGGAGACCCAGTCCTGGGAGCTATGAGGGTCATTTAAGGGTTTAAGAGCACCTCTGAGGACCCTATCCGTGCATTCCTTCTTGTCCCAGGAAGCCTGAAGAAGAGGGGGTCAGGTAAATTAGGAGCAGAATCCTGATGGAGCTAGGAACTTCTGGTTTAAAAAGAAAATTGTTTTAAAGCATTTTTTATTTATTTTTTATTTATTTATTTTTTTGTTACAGATGTTTCTCTTTTTTACCCCATTGGCACCCCCCTCCCCACCCCACACCCGCCCCATCCCCGGCTTTGTTGTCAATGTCCATTGGCTATGCATACATGCATATGAGTTCTGTGGTTTATCTCTTCCCACCCCCCCACCCCCTCTTATGACGGATGTCGGTCTGTGCCCTACTTCCATGTTTCTGGGTCTACCGTATTCCTCAGACTGTTATGTTCATTATATTCCATATATAAGTGAGATCATGTGGTATTTGTTTTTTTCTGCTTGGCTTATTACACTTAGGATAATACTTTCCAGGTCCCTCCATGTTGGTCTTCTCAAAGGATAAGAGATCTTTCTTTCTTACCGCTGCATAGTACTCCATTGTGTATATGTACCACTGCTATTTTATCCATTCGTCTACTGATGGACACTTGGGCTGTTTCCAGACCTTAGCTATTGTAAATAGTGCTGCTATGAACATGGGGGTACATATATTCTTTCTGATTGGTGTTTCAGGCTTCTTAGGGTATATTCCTAGAAGTGATCATTGGGTCAAATGGAAGTTCAATTTTTAATTTTTTGAGGTAGCACCATATTGTTTTCCATAGTGGGTGCACCAGTCTGCATTCCCACCAGCAGTGTACTAGAGTCCCCTTTTCTCCACACCCTCGCCAACACTTGTTGTTTGATGATTTGTTGATGGCGGCCATTCTGACAGGTGTGAGGTGATACCTCATTGTTGTTTTAATTTGCATCTCTGATGATTAGTGATGTTGAGCATTTCTTCATATGTCTCTTGGCCATTTGTATGTCCTGTTTGGAGAGGTGTCTATTCAGCTCCTCTGCAAAGAGGAGCTGAATAAAGCATTTTTTAATGTAGTAAAACACAAGAGTGGAATATTATTCCATGACAATAAAAAAGAACAAAAACACAATTCTCTAAAATGATACCTAACCCTCTTTATTTCTAGAATGAAAAATAAGGGATACTTTCCTTTATTTAATATAAGAATTAGAAAGAATTTTGAGAGTATGTCTGCTTCCTCATTTTAAGATTGTATCAAGTTAAAAACTTTATCCTATTTAAATTCATTTGTTTTTCTACATGTCCTTTATTCTACGTCTATTTTTCCAATTAGAATGCGAACAAACCAAATGAAAACTTGAGATGCATGTTTGAAGGCTCCCCATAATGAAATCAATGCTCATTTTAAACTGTGGGATAAGGCAGCTGCAATTTCAGAACACAAAATGATTAACTTGGTTTTGCATGTGAAAAAAAGACACAAAAAAACGAATCTCCGCATTAAAAAAAAAAAATTACCCTCTGAAACTAGAATGTTTTCAGACATGAGCAGTATCTGTACAGCTTTTGGAAATATAAAACTTTATTTCAGAAATTACCTTCAAAGGATTAAAATAAAGCAGAAATGCTCTTTCTCAAGCACATAAAGGACTATTGAAAACTGCTGTTGAGGACGAGCTTCCTCCAGGGACAGTCAGCCCCAGGACACCCCCACTCACACTCCCAGCCTTGGTCCCTCCCCACCTCCATGCCCTCTCTCCTCAGCAACCTCGTGCCCACAGTGTCTTGGTCTTCCAGTGACTCTTCCTTTACCCCCGTCCTTTGATATCATCCCTCTCTGATTCTGCCCTTTCCTTTCTTCTCTTTCTCTGTAAGACTCTCCCTTCTCTCTAATATCTCTTTTAAAATGTCCCTCCTCTGTCTCTGTTCCAACACATCTTAAAGGGGCCAACATTTTTTACAATACTATTTTCCTTGAATACAGATTTATGTTACCTGTTCTAAATTTTAAAAACAAACAAGTAGAATATTTTCTTTCTATTTCATCAGACACTGTTTTGCACTTATTTTATTCACAGTCAACCCACAAACATTTCCAGAACATGAACTATGTGCTAGGGATAGAGATTAAGTGAGACTCAGTCTTTTAAGGATTTCATACTTTAGTGGGTTCCTATTTGCTTATTTTAACTAGAGACTAGTGGTCCTTAGTAGAATAAATATTCCTCAGTAGAATAAACATGGCCTAAACATACAGAGACCATTTTTCTCTCTGATTGCCTGTGGTTTTATGCTCTAGGTCCAATTAGATTCAAAGATCAATTTCATGAATAGTACAGTATTACATGGGGTTAGTGAATCTCTCCCATCCCCCACCCCCAAGGTGAATGTGCCAGTTCTGGCTAGGGTGGGAACTACTGCTTTCTTTGACCTCTCTTTGACTGTTGCTTCTAAGATAGGAAAGAAAACCAAAAATTTTTGTTCTTTGGCTATTTTAGCAGTGTTGTTTTCATACTACATGTGTCTATTACTTAATTGGACTATAACAAATTCGTAAGTTGACTTGTGTTCATATTCTAGTAGTACTCAACCCAATTATTTGTTCATTGAACTTTTGGCTATATTTATTTAAATGCTGTCTGTTGACATCATTAATTGCCCTTGGCACTGTTTGTTTTGACTCCAAGACTAGCTGCTAGGACATTTAAGTAAGTAAACTTTTAGTTTCAAAAGGAAATTATCTACAGAATTTAGTGATAGCTTATTCTTTTTTTTAATCCTCACCCTAGGATATTTTTCCATTTCTCTTCAGATTGAGTGGGAGGGAGGGAAGGAAGAAGAGAGAAATGAGAAACATTAATATGAGAGAGACACATCGATTGGTTGCCACCCACATGACCCCAACTGGGGGCAGGGACGAACTGCAACCGAGGTGCATGCCCTTGACCTTCTCACTCAAACCTGATGCTCTAACCACTGAGCCAAACCAGCCAGGGCGCGCTTGCTTATTCTGTATACTTTTTAGTTTTTTAAATGTAATTTTCTTGAACTAGTTCAAAACACTCATATTATTTGCAGCAATGGAAGGGATAAAAGGATGTATGGGTCTTCTACCTTTAGAACTGGAAATCTATATAATATGTCACATATTTTAACATCTCTTTGCCAGGTGAGCACTCAAGGCCAGCGGTGCACTGGAGTGAAATAAGGAAGGAACATTTTGAGGAAAAACAGTGGAAATATATATTCATGCGCAATCAGTGAAGAAATCAAGGCAAATATATCTTGTTCCTTACAGATCCTTTTAAAAAATAGGACTTCGGGTTTCCCACCACACACAGAACGCATTGTGCTACAGGGGACTGTGGCTGGGAAATGGAGCCTTCATCGTGCTGACGGAAAGAAAAGGCTGGGACTTTCTAATGTGTCTTTTTGTATCAAGTTTCTCTAAAAAGCTCAATTGGTACTAACCTATACGTTCACTTTTCATCAACATTGATATTATCGCATCTAACCTACACATGTGGAAACTTTATATTTGTAAAAATTTCAGCAGGCTTTGTTGTTCTATTAAATTCTCAATCCTGTTAAGATTGCTATATTTATTTATTTTTTTATTTCATTCCTAAATTTCCTTCTTGCTTTGTACCACAGAATGATGGTTGTCACAAAAGCGAGACTATGCCTTCTCTTGGGTTGTCAATCACCAATGGTGTTTTTGAAAAGACATAAAATGCTGAAGGAAATGACTCATTAAAGTTTTATTTTTATTTTGTTCAAGAAAAGATGGATTCAAATAAATTATTCTGGTTTTTGCTTTTATATAGTCTTGGTTCTTTGTCTTGTAGAGTAAAAATTTTACCTAAAAGTCAGATTGCAGAATTAGATTTCTTTTCCTTATTTTTCAATGTGCAACTAAGTTTGGATTATAGAGAACTACTAATGTAAGAATATTGCTCTCTCAAAGCTACCTTTTTTTCAGACTTGAAAAGTTGACTGTATTGAATTGTTGACTCTGGGAAAGGTCTTCCTCCTTGTATGTTGCTGTATGTTTTTTTGTTTGTTTGTTTTTTATCCTCACTCGACATTTTTCCACTTTTTGTTCAGATAGAGTGGGAGGGAGAGAGAGAGAGAAACATTGACCTGAAAGGGACACAGCGAGTGGCTGCCACCCTCACAACCAACCAGGGCCGGGGACAAACTGCAACCAAGATACGTGCCCTTAGTGGGAACCGAACCTGGGTGTCTCTGGACCGCAGGCCAACGCTCTAACCGCTGAGCCAAACCAGCCAGGGCTATGTTGCTGTGTTTTTTTAAAAATCAGTTCAAAGCCAAATGGAAGAAATTAGATAATACCTTTCTCAACCCCCAAATGAAATAACTGACTTATCATTAGACAAAACTGCTAGATCAAAGGTACCAGATGAAACAACTAGATACCCCAGGGGCAGGTGGCAGAGACTGTGAGAGGAAGGTGGCCTGAGGCCTAGAGAGAAGCGGGTATACAAAGGCAACAGCAGTGAGGCCCACGGGATGGAGACAGAACAGTCATCTGAGTCTTACGGGTCTTGAAGATGAAACACGAATGTTTATGTTTAATCACATTGACTGCAAACACTCTGACCTGGCAATGCCACCCTTTAGGATTTTATGCCAGCCAAATAAAGGAAGAAACAACCCAAATAGCCAATCATAGGGGATTTTAAAATGGCATTAATGACATTATGTCCATACAATAGTTCATACTGCAATTATTGAAAAAAGAAAACGATATACAACTAACTGTATTTAAACAGACTTTAAACCATGCCTCGTGGCCTATTAGTTTATACAGAAGAAAGAACTGAAAAGAATAGCATTTCTCTGTTAGAGTGTCTCAAGTGAAACACTATGTTTACACTCCACCTCCCATATTTCCACAGAAGCACGTGGTAAAGAGAAAATTAAGACTCAGTTCCACAACCCCTTCTAGTCTTCTTCCTCTACCACCCTTACATAATTTTCTACTGAAAAAGTCTATCAGTCCTAGCACAGATTATTTTCTTCTCCAATTAGTAAAAAAATATTATATCTGATTACAAAAGGAATTCATTCCCATTGTAAAAAAATATATATAGATACTTGGAAATGCTGAAGGCTAACCACAAGACAACTAAAATGACCAGTAGAGAATAGATCTTAAATGTTCTCAAGACCAAAAAGAATTGTAATGTGTAATGAATGGGCTAACTAACCTTACTGTGGTACATACTTTACAATATATAAATATAACAAATCATTATACTTTAAACTTACACACTGTTATATGTCAATTATATCTCAAAAATAACATAATATCACTTGTAATCTCACGCAGAAATAATCTGCTAGCATTTTCCTAGGTTAGTTATGCATATGTTTATTCATATTTATTCCAGTTCCAGAAAAGATTTGTGGTAAATGCATAATATCACAAAATAAAATGCACCCCAAAATATTAAGTTGACAAAGAAAGCAGGACGAAGGAACAATGAGAGGTTACAAAGGCAAGTTGAAAGCAGAAATGATGTTAATAAGCAGTCCTGTGAATTCTCCTTTACCTTTGAGTATGGTTGTATCCCACTGAGGTCATGCAGCATATACAGGTACGTCTAAGTTAAATGCAATGTGCAATTACCAGAGCCAAAGAAGTGTTGCAATTCTACTGCAGGGCTAGGAGAGAGAGCACGTCAACTTTCCCAGTCACCCGCTTACCCAGGTCCATCCACCTCTTCCTTCCTTTCTCAATCCTGAATCCCCTCCCTCCCTGCCAGGGGCCCTTACTTCTCATACTTGGAGGGCAGATACTCACTATAAAGAGCTACACTGCTTCTCCATGTCCTCCTTCCAAGACCTAACCCTGGAATACTTTCAACCATAGACGATCTCCAGGAGCATTTTCTTGAGTAGGCAATAATACAGTCAGTCATATGATTCACAAATTGAAATCCTATAAAAAATATGCAACAAGATAGCTGTTTTTATGTTTTTGGTCTGGGTTTTCGGTTTGGCTACTTTTGTGTATCCCTCCCAAGTTTCTTACCACAGGCCAAAGGACGTTCAAACACATATTCTTATTTTTTTCAAACTCACTTTCAATCACTTGTAATTCCTCTCATTTCTGTATTTCTCTCACACACACAGAAAAATACAGACTCTCTTGGTGCATGGCTCCACTCGGGCAACGAGGAACTGCTGAAGGGAAAAATGTGAAAGGATCTGGAATCCAATTAACTTTGCTGTCATTGGTGTGTAGCGCCGATGACTCACTGCTTTCTTAGTGAATGGGGATGAAAAGCTCATAAATTAATCAAGGTTTCCAAGGGAAGGGATGAACCAAACACAGATGTTCACCTAATTAACAAATTAATCTTTAAAAACCAGCCGAAAGTTCTTTCCTTATTACTAACAATAATCTTAGTTGTTGTTAAAGTTGCTAACTTTATAATACTGCTTCTAACTTGGAATAGAATTATATTCCCAGTGAATATTATTTTTAAAGCATATATTCTACTGATAGACTTTTTAAGCAAAGGGAAAAAAAGTACTCATGAATAAAATTGTTTTCCTTGTTTTTCTGACATTTATGCATTTCTGTGTTAATAAGACAATTTCAGAGATACTTCACACATACACTCAAAGAAGGTCTATGTGATGCCTCAGCTCTACAAGATCACATACCTTGTAAAGTTTTATTAAAATAATAAAATTAAGTGGTAAAGTACATGGCATATAGTTAGCTAGGTTACTGTATATTATTAAATATTTATTTTTAGAAAGTTCTTATTTTCTTCTTCTCTATTGCTATGTACCCCATGACTTTCCATGTCATTCTTATATATTCCTCTAAAGTTCATGTTCAAACATACAGGGTGGGACAAAAGTAGGTTTACAGTTGTTTTTATGGAAAATAATACAATAATAAATAATAATACAAGAATAAACTCTGTGTTTCGTGTACTCACAACCGTAGACCTACTTTTGCCCTACCCTGTATATGAATGTGTATGTTTTAGTTGACAGCAAAGGTTTCTTTCCCATAAGCAAACATGGACATCAAACACAGTGCTTGGATTTAACAATGTTACTATCCTTCTTTTCTGATCTCCTAGACTCATTGTTCATTGGAATTACTGTGTTATCACACCCATTTTCTCCTCTGATCTTCGCAAGAACCTTGTGGGCTTCGAGAGCCCTCCCACTTTACGGATGAAAAAACAAAGACTTCCCTCAAGTCACCAAACCAGTGAGAGGCAGGGCTGATCCTTAAACAGCACCCCTGGCTCCAAGTCCAGGGTCAGTTCCAAAACACACGATTTCTCTTTCTCCTCTCAGCCTTACCTTGAGGACTTCACTAGTTTCGATTACCGTTGGTCTCCCAGAAAAGGTTTATTTATTTGCTTTCTGTGTCTCAGAGCTGTCTCATTTGAACCGCTCCCCGAGAAGAGGACAGCTCCATTGCTCATCACACAATTAGACCTCCTGTCAGAGTGTTTCTTCCCTGCAGCAGAATCTCACTTTAGGGTTATGACAGAGGCTTTCTGAAGTCCCAGAGAAGCAGGACCTTAAATTCTACAAAAAAACAAAACAGTGGTCCCAGGAAGTAAGGACTTGAGAGACCCTCCATGATAGCCAGCTCTTCTGAGTGGCCCAAATGGTGTCCACCCCATTATATGCACTTTGGAACACAGACAATAAGTGATTTTTGAAGTGTACTAAATTGGATTGCCTGCCCTCCGCATATTTAATGAAGACACCATCTGTAGGAGGCAAATAAATTACTGTTTTCAATAACCAACTTCCTTTGAAATTGACTCTCAGGGGCACTCGATAAGTTTGAGTGCTATTTGTCCATGCACTTCAGTGAGACCCTATCAAACTGTCCTTCAGAAAGTAGAATTGTGACAGAATGATTGTATCTATAACATTTTATCCTCATTACTTATAAAATAACTGATATATTAGGACCCACAGATCACCTGTCAGCATTTATTTAGGATTCCAAATAGAAATGACTGATAGGCCCTGAACGGTCTGGCTCAGAAGTTGGAGTGTCCGGCCGTGGACTAAAGAGTCTCAGGTTCGATTCCTGGTCAAGGGCACATATCTCGGTTGTGGGTTTGATCCCTGGACCCAGTCAGGGTTGTGGAGGAGACAACTAATCAATGTGCCTCTCTCTCATACATCAATGTCTCTCTCTCTCCCTCCCTCCCTCCTTCCCATTCTATACAAAAATCAATAGAAGAATATCCTTGGGTGAGGATAAAAAATAAATAAAAAGAAATGACTGGTAGGCAGTTTATATTAAAAAATGAGAACGTCAGTGAAAGATCTGGGATTGCCCTGGCCGGGAGGCTCAGTTGCAGCATCATCCCGTAAATCAGAAGGTTGCAGAAGCGATCCCCAGTTGGGGTGCCTGCAGGAGGCAACTGATCGATGTCTCTCTTTTCTCTCTTTCTCCCTCCCTTCCTCTCTCTAAAATCAATAAACATATTTTCAGATAA